GGCTTTGGGGGTTTAGGGGTTTGGGGCTTGAGGGGTTTAGGGTTTACCGTAGGGTGTAGATCCAAGGTTTAGGGCTTAGCCGGCGTTCCAGGGCTAAGGCTACAGCTGAAATCGCTTACAATGCTTTGGCTTTCGAGTTCAGCTTTCTGGGACCCTAAACCCTAAACCCTGAACCTTAAACCCAAAACCCTAAACCCTAGACCCTAAACCCTAAACCCTAGACCCTACAGATGCCTTTGTAGAGGCTTGCTTTCAACAGCGTTGACTTGTGCCTGCTCCCTGGGAGTCAGGGTTGAGGTTTGCGGATTTAGGGAACCCGAAACCGTGACCCTATAAACCCCAACCGGTTTAGGGTTTGGGGTTAGGGTGGTATTAGGCTGTTGAGGAACGGGGCCTGCTGCCTGCATGCTTCCACCCAAGCCGTTTGAAGAGTGCTCACTGTTTGCGCCGTGGAAACCATCAAAGCAAGATTCTTTCTTCTGATGACCCTGATCCAACAAACAGAAGCAACAAAGACGGATGAACCACCAACGGTATCTCGGAGAGGTGCTCTTGTAAGTTCTTCGGTGTCCAAGTTCCCGAATAATTACTGGCATTCACATATAATTCAAAGACGAAAGCCTACAGCCTAAACCCTAAACCCTAAACCCTCCCTAGGTATTGGTTTCGTGCCTAAACAAATAGGACTCGTTGGTCACCGAGGTCAGGCCCTATACCACCGAAGCGTCCGAAAACCCACTCAAAGGACGGTCAAATTCACGAAAAACACGGGCCTTAATAACTAGAGTAGGGTTTTGGCGGATTTTGGCACCCATTATACTGAACTATAAAAAAGGAATCCCCAAAATAATATAGGTAATTATTTAGGCCTCTATATTACAAATCCTCAACCCTAAACCCTAAAACCTTAACCCTAAACCCTCTACCCTAGAACTTTAACCCCTAAACGACCCTACCAGGTCCCAGCTTCAGCATGAAAAGGGCACAACCGTCGATGCCGAGGATGTCTGACCGAGGGTTCTCGCCGTACTTCTTCCGAAAATACTCCACCTGGGAAGGGAGGGTTTAGGGTTTAGGGGTTTAGGGTTTAGGGGTTTAGGGGTTTAGGGGTTTAGGGGTTTAGGGGTTTAGGGGTTTGGGGGTTAGGGTTTTAGATCGTTCTATTCCGTTTGAACCCGGATAGGGTTTACCCTTTGCGGGGTTGCGCGATACCTGTAGTCTCCATTGTTGTTCCTTGTAATTTTGGTTTAACATCCTAACTAATTACATACTTAGGATCCTGGAAGGCATCCCGCAAAAGGGATCTATATACAATGGAGACTATGACCCTAAACCCCATACTGTATACTATAGAACCCATGTAGATCCCTTCACAGGAAACCTTTACCCTAAACCCTAAACCCTAAACCCACGTAGATCCCTTCATAGGAAACCTTTGTCTGAGTTCAAGGACAGGGGCTCTGGGAAACGACGAGATCCCATCATGCGGGCGAGCTATGTACTATAGCTCGCCGGAATTCTTAATTACCAATAATGATTCTTAGGGTTTAGGGTTTCGGGTTTAGGTTTCGGGTTCTTCATTATAATATACTATTCAGGAGCCCCCCCCAAAAAACAAAAAAAAAAAAACTGTTCTAATTATTTAGACCCCTTCATTAAGGTCTTCTGGCCCGGTAGCTTTCAGACTTGAGCTGCTGCGAAAAAATCGCAATAGCAGGGGTAGCTAAATGTATATAGAGCATTTAGGGCTTAGGGTTTTTTTTTTTTTTAAGTGCAGTAGCCCTTTCTCCCGCGGCGAATGAGCCCACCTTCTTCAGGTGTGCACTGTCAAAACGGACCCTCCTGTGCAATCAGCTGCCTTCATTAGCAGGAACGTCCACACTCTCAGGCCTGTCACTGTGCTCCTCTTCACTCTCGTCACCAACTTCACCATCAGCAGCACCAGCTTCAACTGCAAAGACTCCACCTCCTCCAGCTGACTCAATCTCATCACCTCTTCCATCAAGATCATCTCTGCTACGGCTGCGATCCCTTTCAGACCCAACACCACGAGACCCCGAAGTCGCCGACAAAGAGTTATTCTGTAGACGCGGAGGAGGGCGAAGGTGTAGAAGACGGCGTCTGCTAGCCAGCCCAAACTGCATTCGATGCCGGTGCGGTCTTTCAGGAAAGAGGTGGGGAGGAATAGCTTGCGACGGTTCCTCTTCAAATGCCTGCACCAAGTACAGCTCAGCAGAAGAGGACGGTGTACCGGCAGTCGACGGCCAAAGAGCATGTACATGTTGCTACCAAAGACGCCTCCTCATCCCCGCTAAGTCGATCGGTCGGCGACCAGGTAGAGCACCACGTATTTGCTGTGCATTAGGCATGTCATCTCCGATGAGGATTGCTGCCATGTCAGCAACATTGTTGGGCCTATTGTGGGCATGTCCTTGCGACCCATGTGCAGCGTGCCTGGAGACCTCACCCCAGATAGTCTGCTCCGCAGTTGCAGCATTGAGAGGTAGGGCATTGCGACCCGCATCAAACCAGGTCCCAAGCTCTTCCATGGCCACCAAATTCAGCCGCAAACAGTGATGTAAACGTCGCTGCCGGTCTTGGAGACGCCGAAGAAGATCAACCAAATCCGCCCTCCCACAGTGAGCGGCGCACCTATTCACCGTGTCTCTAACCTGGTTCTCGGAAGAGACGGGCGTGGTGGTGCTAGTCGTTGAGGAGGTGCTGGTTGTCAGCCATGTTCTCCCAGCCTGCATGAACACTGCTTCATCATCTCCTTCTTGTCCTTCTACATGCATGTTGTGCACCATCCAGGAGGGGGCAGAAGTCAAGGTCAAGGTGGTCGAGCAGGTCGAGGTGGCCGAACAGGTCGAGGCGCTCGAGGAGGTCGGAGTGCTGAAAGAAGACGAAGAGATCATCCCAGACCCGATGTACGAAGTCAAAGGGGACGAGGAAGTCAAGGAAGACGAGGAAGTCGACGAAGTCACCCCAGTCAACGAAGTCATACGGGCCACCAACGGCAAAGATGACCAGCTGGTAGTCGTGGGTGATGACACCCCATTGATCCACCATACGCCCGTACCTGTGGTGGACAAAGTCGAAGGGGTAATGTCCATGGCCCCGGAGGCTCCCACTGAGGAAGAGGAGGAAGAGGCCTGCATGACTTCAGTGTCACCATGTTCCACATTTTCTGTAGGTGGCTCCCTCCATAATCCAAGAAGCTCCGTTGGTGGTCGCGGCAGGTTGACTGGCAAAGGTGGTGGAGGCCCTCTCGGTGCACCGTCCGAAGGTTCTGATCCCGCACAGTCTTCATCTGTCTCAGTGGCCGTTTGTTCGGTAGCGAAGGAGGTGACCGTATCAGATCTCCTTCTTCGACTGAAAGCACCATTGGTGTCTCCACCCGAGCTGGAAGCCGGTTCAGAAGAGGGCGGGGTTTCTTCCACCGAGGGTGGCAAGCTGGGGGGCGGGCTCGTCTCTTGCTGTTGTGCGCGATCAATCTCTTCCGCCTGCAGCCTGGTCGCCAACGGGATCTGGACACACTGGACGAGGATGGGGATGAGGTTGCGCCCCCAATTGAAGTTGTTCCAAGTCTGGATCATCCGCAAGCACATCAAGAATGGCCTCGAAGGCTTGCTCCGCCTCAATGCCACGACGTAGCATGCGAGCGATGGCCCAGCGGGACTCCGGTCCAATTCCCTCGTATTCCTGTCTGGCGTGCAGCTGGTTCATGAAATTCTCCAACTGGGCGATGGTTTGGCGAGGCACACCTTGTTCTTGGAGCCTTGCTATTTCTGCATTCCTCAGCTGCATCATAGCCATGGAGTCAGTCTCATCCTCTTCATCCTTTGCATTCTCCTCCATCTGCTGGATCAAGGGCTGCTGGGTCTCCTGGGGCACGTCGAGGTTGGTCGCCAAGTGGTTTGTAGTAGAGGACGAAGAGGCCGCAATGTTCACATCCTCCTCAGCAGTCTCCCCAACATCAGCGTTCACCTCCTCCTCAACAATCACCCCAGCATAGGTTGCACGCATTGCCTCTCTCGCCATCTTCTGTTTTTTGTACTCCTCAAGCCACGCAGGTTTCCATTCACCGTTGAAGTACTTCAGCATGCGTCCTTGTCGTCGTTGTTGGCGGCGTGGCCCATTGCCGCCTCTGTGTTGGCGCATTTCCTGTTCTGTACGGGGTCGAGGTTGCCAAACTCCATGTTTCCAGAATCCTGTCGTCTCTCCTGCACCGTCACCCTCAGACTCAGGAGACTGGCCGGCATCATGTGGGATCTCCTGTCCTGTGTAGTTCTCCGTGGAGGAGTGCTCAGAGGTGGGTTCCCACACTGTCTCATTTTCCCCCGCAGTCGTAGAGTTCCCATCCATATGATTGGCATTGTTCCAGGCCTGTGATTTCATCCCGTAGAAGGACTCAGCTGTCACCTCTTGCCTATCCATTTGCGCCTCATCATTGCTCATCTGAAAAGATATCGTCGCATCTTCTGGGATGGGTGGTGGTTGTTGGTCCCCTGCTTCCCGGCGAAGTCGTTCTCGTTGCCGAACTCTGATGGACCCGTTGAGGTAGTGCCACCGATCCAGGCCAGGTCGGGTTCGCCCTCCTCGTTGTGTGAGTCCTGGGTTCGTTGTCTCGGGGCCAGAGGGCACCGCTTGTGGCAAAGTCCACGTCTCCCAGGTTGTTCCAGAAGAGCAAGAAGCCGCCGCAGGACTGGTCTCCTCTGACCATTAAGGCAAAGGGTGGTGGTCGGAGCTCTCCGAAGACGTCACCCTTTCCGTTTCTTGATCCATGCTCCATGTGCTCCGCCAAGTTGCCCAGCTCGATGTCGGGGCCGCCGAAGAGGCAGAGGAAGAGGAAGCCATGCCCGGGCTCGTCCAGCAGGGGTTTTTCCAAGAGGAATCTTCCGAGTTAGAAAGCATCCCCGATTGCGAGTACGACCAGGACCACGATGAAGAGGACCACGATGAAGAGGACCACGAGGAAGAAGACCACCAAGAAGAGCAGGCTGGGGAAGTGGAAGATGTAGGTGCCGAGAAACAGGTGGACGTCGATGGTGGAGTAGCCCTCCAGGAACTGCCCGAACGGTGCTCCAACCACTGCTGGTTATCCGTGTCCCCATTTAGAGGAGCGCAACGAAGTCGCCGTCCATCTTGTATACTGAACCACCAGTGAGGAGGGCGACCACGTAGTTCTCGTCCATCTTGAAGTCTCCGCCACCAGTCCGAGCTGTTCCTTGTCTCATCTTCTTGCCAACGGTTGTCATTGACAGTCGTGGCGTTCTCTGTCGTCGCCAGTTCCGGCTCTTGGGGCACAGCTTCCAGCGAAGCAACATACTGTTGGTATTCTTCTGCTTGTTCCTGAATGCAGATATCTTCATCCCAACGCATCGCCATATAAAGCCGAACATCCCCAGAGCCTTCTTGTTGTACTTGTGTCGAGGGTGGGGCCTGCGAGGTGGTAGACCAAGGTTGCCACGAGGAGGAGGAAGAGCTCTGCGCAGGGGACGTCGCTGACCATGGCTGCCACGAGGAAGAGGAGGAGCTGTATGCTGGCGTTGTCCAGTGCGAGGGAGTTGTCCAATGCGAGGGTGCTGTCCACTGCGAGGGCTGGTATGTCACCCCAGGGTCCTGCTGCAAAGTCGAAGGCACATTCGCCCTTTCAGCGTCAGTCTCCCAAGGATCCCCTTGAACCTGTGCCATTCCACTGTTTCCGTGCTCTCCCCAAGAGCTCTCCCAAAGGTGGCCGGGGTAGATCTCCTCATTCCCGGCAGAAAACACGTAGACAAAGGACATGAAGAAGTGAAGGGCCGCCACCAGCATTGCCATGGCAGCCACTCAAAGGAGGCACTTGAGGAAGTACACGGTGCTGTCTTCGAGCCTGAAAGGAACGGGCCAGGGTTGCAGTCAGCAGTGACTGGAGCATGTGAATCTCTGCACACATCATTGCGATCGGCTTCAGGACAAAATAATAATGCAACTCGAAGTACATGTCAGGCATGGTTTCAGAGCATATCATAAACCCTGGCAAGGAAAAGAAGGGGAGCATGCGAAAGCCAACGAAGATCACCTCACCCAAACCGGAGCCCACTTTCACCCACCTGGCAACATCAACCCAGTAACGGCATCATTCACCCAGGGAGGACAAGCAGGCTCAGCAGTGTAAGGCAAGTTGTCGGCCCGAGCTCCATTTTACATCCCATTCACGAATATACTGGTCTCTTGCAGCAGCCCAAGACGAACGTTGCATGGCAGTGACAGCCCATTGGAGGCCATGTGTCTGGCTGATTTGTCTCTCGCTGCAGCTGACATAGAGGTGACCTTTATGGCGAATTCCAACTGTCGAGCTGAGGCTTTGTTGATGTCGCCACCAAGAAGTCGACCTTCATAGATTAGCCCTCATGGCGAGTGACGGGATGATCCTGTCAGCTAGTTCTTCAGACCTCCTTGCCCAGTGTCCGAACAAGTTGTGCTGTAGCGAAAGGATCTTTTGACTCCATCTAGGATATCCATTGTTGCAAAGCCACACCCTGCAGAAACGCATCGAACGAGTGTTCCACTGGACCCAGTCTTCTCCTCTAGTTCTACGAAGGCCAAATGCAGCACGAAGAGTGTGCAATTGGAGTGTGTTTGCACACCGTAGGTCCTCAGCACTCCAATGAAGCGCTCCAGCCGCCCATGAGAACTGTGACTCAACAATGGAGCGCAGCAAGCTAATCTTTCTATCCCAAGAACCACGCGCTCCCAGGATGTCTTTATGTAGGCCTGCAGCAGAACGTGTGCGAGCGAGTAGTTCCTGTGCCTGCTGAGACGGCTTGTCAAGAAGGGAGAAGGACAAGCCCAGGACTTTGACTGACTCCGAGGGCGGGGCAATGGAGAAGAGCTCATCCCCTACGGCTGCCTTCCTCGCTCCTTTGTAGGCCTGACTAGCAACAATCTTGGTTTTCTTTGACGCAAGTGCAAGGCCTGCTTTCTGCAAACACCGATCGACAGCCCGGATCCGCTTTACCATGGACTTGAGGTCATGGTCAATCAAAAAGACGTCGTCCTGATAGAACATGAGAGATATATCCAGACCTGGTAGGCTCTCCCCTAGATCTTTCCATTTCTGGTGCTCAACAAGTTCAGAGAGGAGTGCATCAACCACAAGGCCAAAGATCTCCGCGCTTTCCGGGGCACCTTGCTTCATGCCATTGTTGGGGCGAATGCGGACGGAATTTCCCCCCGGCACAGAGCCTTCCAGTGTGTGGACACGTAGTTGGGCAAGCAGATAGCGAAGTTCAAAACCACGTTTCCCAGCAAGGCGATCAATGAGAAGTGCGGCTACTTTACGACGGTCCACCCGATCGAAAGCACCTGCAACATCCAATTTTCCCAGAAGGGCTGGCATGTTCCATTCTTTCACAACATCGCGGATACGAGTGACAGAGCCGATGAGATCAGCAGCTTGTCGACCTTTTCCACACGTAGAGATGGAGGAGCCTCTGCGGCAAGATGGGAGGGCGCGGCTGCAAACCATGCGATTGACCAGCTTGTTGAAGGCTGAGCTGACGGAGATCGGTCTGAGATCACCAGGGCTCGTCGGCTTCGGCACTTTAGCCAAGAGAGCAAGGAAGCTGCGATTCCAGGTCTCCGGGATTTCAAGTCTATGAACAATCTGGTTGATCAGTTCAAGGAACTGCTCCCCAAGCTCATCGTCGCTAGCCAAGTGACGAAGAAAATCAACCCCAATTCCATCAGGACCCACAGCACTCCTGGTCTTCATGTATTGGAGTTCAGTGCGAACGTCCAGAAGAGAGAAGGGAATGAAGTCGCCATGCATTTCAACCCCATCAATGAGGACCTGGAGCTCATCATCCCAACCATGTCTGCAAGGGTCGACCATTTTACTCTCAAAATGAGCAGTGACTTCGGCAGTAAGCGTGGCTGAGCTCTTATCCTGAAGCATGTGTCCCCACCAGCCACGGTGACGACGTTTTTCAGCCTGTAATTGTCTGAAGTCACCCCAGTTGCCATTCAGAATTCGTTCCAGGCGTTCATGTTGCCATCGTTCACGTGCAGCACGACGAAGGCGATGTACCCGCTTCCAATCAGCCTTTGCGTTGGTGGTCCTGGCAAACTGCACGGCATTCTTGACTTCATCACCATCGACATAGGCAGAGGAAGGCCTCGGTTTGCAACACTGGCTAGCCAAAGCAACAAGGTCATCCTCGTCAACAAGTGTCACTTTCGGAATTTCTCGGCAAACCCATCTCGCTCTGGAGTCGTTGCCCCACCGCTTGGAGTGAGCACCCCTGGCAGAGAAGACCAATGTCGACAAGAGTGCGTGATCTGTTCCGATGACATGTCGCCTCTCTGGGTCAATGTGGAGGGGATCGATCGCAAGCTGTCTTACGATGAAGCCATCAATTTGCCTTCCTGCATGGGTGACATCCCAGGGAAAATGTGTTGGTTGGTCTCGCTGTTCGAGGAGAGGCGCAAGAAGACGGCAATGATGCTTGTGGGCCTCGTCAACCAGAAGATTGAAGTTGGAGGAGCCCATGCCCGACGTCAAAGTCATGTCATTTTCCTCAAGGTTCCATCGGATCGTTTCGTTAAGGTCAGCTCCACAGAGAAGAGGGTACTGCTGCCATTTGCGAGGGAGGGCTCCGAAGAATTCTGAGATCGCAGCTTGATAGATGGCATTAGTGACCCCTGTGTGCGCGTGAAGGCTGCCACAGACAACTCTGCCAACACCCGCGAGACGGAGAAGTACCCAAATGCCCCTGGAGGTCGCAATTTTCTGCACCACACTGTCAAATCGATCCAAGGTCACCCCAATTCCTACTCCTCGCCACTGTTCTTCAGCACGATGAGTAATCCAATGGAACGACTCGGAGTCAAATTCGTCCCATCCACAAGGTCCTCGCGCAATTTCCTGTACATGCAAAAGGTCTGCATCGGCAGCGGCCATGTCCAGGAGGTCAAGTTTCTGTCCCCCCAGATTCCAGCACACAGCCTTCCCCCACCTATGTTTTTCACACTGGCGGGGTTGGCGAGAGCCTCGAGAAGATCCCTTTGGGAGACAAGAGCGAAGCCCTCCCGACGAAGCAATCTCACCCTCCAAATTCTCAGTCTCCACAACATCATCCTGAGTGAAACATGGCCCCTGATTGGCTCACAACTCTCTCTCGAGTGCAGCTTTAGCTGCATCCAGAGAGCACCCAGCTGTCTTTGCCATCGCGTTAAGGGAGACCCAGCCACCGGGCATCGTCACATACTCTTCATCACGAGGAGGTTTATGAGTTGCGCTAGCCAACTTACACATTCCACACCAGATGGTGCCAAGACTCCAATCACAATCATAGGCCGTGATTTGCGTGTTAAGGAGGCAGCGAACTCCACCTTTGTCATCCTTGCTATCTTTCGCAAGCTCAACTGCAACACGTCGGACAAGGCTGACAAGGGAACTACGGGACCTGGCTGCTCGGGTCTTTACGAAGCTCGCCCACAAAGTTCGGGACCCTTCACCCCCTCCGACCGTACTGGGAAGAGGGTGTTTCAGCGCCGCAATAAGTCGCACCGTCTCCCACATCCGTTTTTTCATCCCCTCGAAGTCCTCCCCGTTGCGAATTTCGAACTTCAACATACCCACAGAACGTCTGGGCCCATAGACATTGAGTTTGGAGCAATCTGTGAGCAGCTTAATCTCTTCCCTCTCAAGCACGGCTGCAACCTCCTCCTCAATCACAGCCTTTCTGGTGTCCCTCAACCAACCACCGACCACCAAGGTTCTCTTGTCATCCTCCGACAAAGTCTCCCCAGGACCACGATCGTGAGCTGCAGAGTTCACCCCATTGGATATTGCATCAGACTTAACCGGGGGAACAAAAG